CAGTCATGAAGGGTATACCTGCACTTAAAACACCAACCATGCAGCTAAGGAACTAGTAATTCTGTGTACATCGGAGGCCCTAAAATTAAGAGGCTTGCCCCCTACATGGGTGCATTGGTACATGGCAGTGCAGCAAGATAAACCAGCTTCCATGGGGAAAGGGAGAACAGGAAGTGAGCACCACCTAGACCTGGCGCCCCCTCTCCCCAGGCTTGGAGCAGCTCTGTACACATCAAGAGGCCCAGCCCCTTGTATCCTTACCCTGCCCACAACACCCCATGCTAAACTGCTCCTGACTCAAAGCAGAAGGTAGGGGAGACACACAAGCAGGGGAAAAAAGAGCATGACCCTAAAAGGTTGAAACAACTGGTGTAGACATGACCTACGCCACCAGGAGGGGATTCTTCCCCAGTACAGTTAGAGCACCTGAGAACCAGTAGTTGGTCAATGGAAGAATTTTTCAGTTGACCTACTGCTAATTGACACAAGTAAGCTGATAAGGCTCTGTGTAATTAGTTGCATATCCCTAAGCACTACAGAGGGGAAGGGGGTCAATCTAATTTTCTAGTGCAGACAAACCCTAAGTCTCCTCCCCTACAGAGGAAATATGAAAAGCCATCAGGATGCTTGCAGAACTGGCCAACTTCCTACCTAGAATAAGTGCATTTTAAAGAGTTTATTTTCATTTATTTTTCTTTTGTAATTTAAGTATTGAGCATTCATAAATACTACCTTTAAAGGCTAAAGGTAAAGAAGTTCTTTCATTTAAGAAATTGATCTTTCCTTGTCTCAGTTAAAAGAACTCAATTTTTTGGTAACTGGGCTTAAGTACACAACTATGGCTAAGCCTACTGCATACCATAGTCTCAGTCTGCTAATATTCTAAGAAATTGTTAGTGGTTTGTCAAATGGAAAAAGTTTAATGCACAACCAATATTTGATTCGTCAACTGTAATAAGAACATCTAAGCCCAGTATCCTCTCCTCAGACAGTGGCCAATGCCAGGTACCCTAGAAAGAATGAACAGGTAATCAAGTCACCCAAAAAGCTGTCCTCTGTCATCCTACTGAGTAACCAGGAGTGTCTTTCACTAATGGGACCACATCCTGATTTACGAAGTGTTTAGGTGCCTGAGTTCTAGTTTTCAGCTCCATAAAATTCCCAGCCAAACTGCAGGTGCCTAAACTGAATAAGCTCTTGGTCAGAGTTCCCTGTAGATTGAGTCTGTTTTTCAGTCTGAGCATGTGTATTGCTGTCCTCAAGGTGTACAGACAACTAGCTCCTCAGCAAGCCAAAGAGATTCAGGAACCAGGGAAAGAATCATCCAGCCACCTAAGTAAGCAGGCATGCTCAGAGACTGACAAATAGAGCCAATACTATTAAAAAAAAATTGCGCGGAGGAAAGGGAGCTACCTCCAAGCTTACATCCTCAGGCAGAAAAGAACCTGGTCTAAGAGAAGGTAGGCATCATTAAGTGTTGAACTCCCCACAAATCTTCTGATTGTGGGGAGTTCAATGCTTTGTTCTTTCATATTGCTTAGAGAAAGGAGCCTTCTTGCAGCCCAAATTTGGATGCTTCTCTCTGGAGATACTTCGAATACATCCCTTTCATCATCTATCATTGGTTACCTGAGTCAGCTCTCTGCCTGTTTTGCTGGCTTTTAACTCTTGTATGAACCTCCTCTCCATTCATTGTAAAGGGAGCGTAGGCACCTAGAACTCAAACTTTGTGAGTTTCAGTGTTATTCCTTTGATTTTCTAGGTGTCACAACTCTTAAGTCCTATTGTGGATATGGTCCCCACAATATCTCCTACCAAAACTGGATCAGCCAAGATACCTGTTGTTCAGAAGTTATAAGCTAAAGATGAAATTCTTAGACTTGTACCTAACTTGAACAATTCTTGTTGACCTCTTCCCCAGCCTCACAGTCCAAGCCACAGATCTATGGAACAGAAAGGTAACTTCTAGTGTTAATTAAGACTACATAGCTTCACCAAGCTGCCAAAACTCAGTTATGCTGACTCCAGATGCTTTAAAGCAAATAACTTTTAGCAGCCATGAGAGGGTTTCAAGAGTTCACTATCACTGTAAAACTAACCTCTGCAATTAAACTGATGGTAGAAGGCTTCAGAAGAATTTCACAAGGATTTAAGGATTAAAAGTGGGCACCTTTTTCAAGCACAAAAAGTTTCCTAATCGAGAAGGATCAGGCAATTGGACTGGCTTGGCACAATCCTCTAATGCCAATCGAAGACAACAACTAGACATGTGAAAAGTTTACCTGTTGCTGGTTAGCATCACCTTTAGTGGCCAATGCTTACCAGTTCACTGTTAGCTAGTGGGGGCTGGAGCAGGGACTGCTGCGGCAAGGCCAGAGAAGCCCCTACCTGCAGTGGGGGGTGGAAGCCACTCCAGCCTAACAGGGTTGGAGACGCTCCTCCCCATATCGGCTTAACTGGTTAATCAATTGAATGAAATTTTACATCCCCACTCAACACAAGTATAATTGGGCCTCTAGTATACTACCAATTATTGAAGTCTGACAGATGAAGGCATTTGTTGAACTAACAGCCATTTACAGTTACTCAGACAAATGACAAGGTTTGAAGCAGGGTTTCCCAGCCTGTGGGTCAGGACCCAAATATGGTCACCATTACATTTCAAATGTAATGTAATGTCTCCCAAGGAGACACTCACACACTTTTTGAATTGCCCTGGGTCACCAAGACTTCCTGAATTGTCAAAATGGGTCCCCATCTGGAAAAGGTTGGGATCTGCTGGTTTAAAGAATCCAAATGACTACTGCCAGCTCAAATAAACCTACTTCAGTGTATTATACAATGGAGTTACTACTTGTATACCACACCACAGAAGCGCACCACAGATCTGAAGTTTTGGGAAACAAAACTGAAGTGTCAGAACCACAATTTCAAACCAGTTTATTTCCCAGGTATACTCTCTCATCTTTAATACTGAGATCTAAAGATAGAGATCTTCAAGCTCTAACAGTGTGCTTACACAACCACACTTCTGTACAGAAGAGTTTCTCATTTGGCTAGAAATCCTGTACTGGCTCTTCAGTAGTATGATAATTTCATGCCCATGTAAAGAGAGCTTTTTCTTGCATTAAGTACATTTTGTAAATGAATGCTGTGATGTCACAGAAATACCAGCTGTCTCGTGCACAAAAAACACACACTAGAAGGGTGCTCTCAATAGATAAAATTTTCAAAGTTAATCCGTTTCAATGAAGTTGTGTCTAGTCTTTTGAGAATTAACAAAATTAAAAAGATCCAAAACACCTCTAGATCCATTTCTTTTTCTGGGTGCACCAATAGAAGCTGTTACGAATAAGCACGCATAATCAAACTTGGCAGACAAAGTGATGCAGACTGAACACACTGTATTTTGTATGCATTACAGAATAAGTAATTTGACATGACTGGCATAACAGAACCTCAGACAGTATCATGTTAAGTTATAGGATTGATCTATTTTTCAAACTCAGTGGGGAGTCAATACTCTAATACACAAGTCTCAAATTGTCCTGTTTTTCCACTTTTAGACTTCAAGCCACGAGGCAACCACTGTGTGCCAATCTAGTCACTGGGCTTTCAAGGTTTGCACTACCCCAAAACAGGGTCAGACACTGGACTTCCTGTGTCTCCACAGCAGTTACCAGCGCAAAGACTATGACAACGGGACAGAGGGCTACTAAGACTTATTTTAAGCAACCAGTAAAGTTGTTCTAAAGCCCTTTGAAAGTGGTAAGATGTCAACAGCTATCTGTAAAAACCTGATGCTGAATTACAGTGGCAGTAAGACCAGTCTATCTATTCTACAGGTATTAGATAAGCACTGGTCTTTTATTTTGGGAGTGCATAAGACAGTTTAACTTCCAAAAGTTTACAATCATTTTCAGACTTCAGTATATACACAATACTGTCCCGTTGCTCTTCAGTTTGGGAATAGTGCTCTAAAAATGCTGAGAAGATATCCAATGGTTTTAAAGTATGAACTGTGCTAGGAAAGATGTTACATGCATCTAAAAAATAATCTGTTTGAACACAGAATTAATGCTCAAGAGCAAACATATATAGCAATGATTTGTTTATAATTGGGAGCCTGGTAAGATTAGACTTAGGTATTTATTTTGAACACACTAAAACTTAGTTAATTCTAATGCCACTTAAATATAAACTAGCTGGGCATAATCAAGATGTCAGTAACTATTGAAACAACGTTCCCATTCAAACATCTGAGTTCTCCATAGCTAGATAAAACCCACTATTGTAACAGTGGAAGACTTACAAATCAGTTAAGTTAGAGTTAGTTCTTTTGCAGAAGTAGCAATAATCAGGATAGCCACCTACCACTCCACTCCCATACAGGCAGGTATGCAACATTTATCTCAGGATGTGGGGAAAATTTAGTCTCTTGATCATACTTTAAGTTCTCTCACACCTACACTCACTTTAAGAGCATCCCAGCATTAAAAGCAAGAAGTCTCCACATGTAAGATGTCACTCCTGTTTTAACTGGGGAAGCTATACTATTATGCTAAAGCAAATTAAATACTAGTTCTTACGCTATCTTAAATATACAAATGAGCAATAGTTAAGAGGCAACTAAGACCTGTTAAGCAATTAGCAATAGGCAGAATTCTCAGAGTGCATGACATCTTACATTTGATATCTACAATGAGAATGACAAGCTTGATTTCCTTTCAGGGTGAAAAATACATAGTATTACTTTTTAGGGACACTTAAGTTAGATCTTTTTACGGACCTTAACATTAAATAATTTTGTAAATGTGTACACTAACTTCATTTAAACAGAAACCACTTCAAGAAGGGGGAGAGGTGGCACACCCTTGGTTCTAGCACCTATGTTTAGAGACATTTAACTTGCTCGTTAATTATGACTTGCCACAAACTAATATTAAATCAATTCAGTGAAGTCTCAAATGTAGGTTTGTTAACAGCACCTCAAAACTCACCTGCAATCTGCTCTTCTGTCAGTTGATCAGCCTATAACAGAAAACAGTATTATATTCCAGTAAGACAAAAATGAACAGATTTGTAATAAAACTTTTCAAAAAAGTATATTGACAGGTAGCTGAGCCATGGTGCATTTCGCATTTCAGTGTCCCAGCTCAGTCTTAAAGCTACAAAAACTTATTCAAAAAATAACCTGCAACTTTAAAATTACAATACACATCTTGACTACTGCAGGACTAGTCATCAGCTTATCTACTAGGTTGTTAAAATGCCATCCAGTACTGACCAAGTATTGAACAGGCCTGAATACAGAGCAATTAAGTTAGGTAAGACCCTTCAGACAACTACTAGTCTCTTGAGCCATCCAGTTTATTCTTGACAGTGTTTAGAAGTATAACCATATCAGTAAAGACCTAGGATTTAGTCTCATGTTTTGTGTAAATGTCAGTTCTTAAGCAAGTCCCATGATAAGTTCAGATGCAGACTAATGCCTGCTTTGAAGAGAATCCCAGTAAGTCACTAAAATACAGTGTTTCCTAAAACAAGTAATGTGTCTGTTGAAAGTTTTATATGGAAGTCTGGTGATCAAAACCAATTTGTACTGAAAATAGTGATATATGTGTATTCAAAAGATTAGCAGATTCTCATCTGACAAGTTTAATTCAAAGTCTTACATTTTTATTTTAATATCCTTTGACTCTTGCTGACTTAGGCAATATAAAAAACCCATTTGCTGACTTAGGCAATATAAAAAACCCATTTAAATTCGTCAACTGGTCCAATGTAATGTTTAACCAGTTAACCAATTAAAGGAATGATGGGTCCTGCATACAGCGGGCCTGCAGAAGCCCTTACCAGTTAACTAGTGGGCTTGCCGGTTTGCCATTCACATTCCTACTTGGTAGCTCATTTATACTGTAAAACAGCCCCTACAATTCTGCACCACTACTAATTTAGTGATGCACACCTATAAGCAGTGCTCGACAAATGATGCAATCTACTCGCCAGTGGTGAGTAGACTGCAACCTGGAAGAGCTGGGTTTGGGCCATCTGCGCATGCACAGATCACTGGACAGCGCACCTGGCAAATGGGGCTCATCGTGGTTCGGCAAGCCCTGCCTATAAGCCTTCAATTAGTTTTAATGTTAGGGCCCTACAGCTTGACAGCAGCAAGGACCGAGGCATTAAAGACTATTTAAAATAAGTTATCCTTCTGACAGAATGCAATGGTATGAGGAGCTCAGTCATTTTCAAATCTAGGCAGGGCTGGATTTCCCATTAGACACAGGGCCTATGAAAAAGTTTAGCCCCCCTCCTCCCCAAACAAAAACAAAAACCCCTCATAACTGACTCATAAGAAAATGTCCAACACAAACTTAATTCACTCTTTAGTGAAACATACAAGTATAACAAAATTAAGTATTTAATTTGCAAATGTTAGCAAAATCACAGACTTTATCACTCAATGCCATCCCTCAATTGAAAGTAGTACAAGTGAAGATAGTCATTTCCATCCCATGGTAGACTCAAGACTGTTCTTTATACATTTTAACTCTGCAAAGAGCACTCCCCTTCACAGTTTGTGCTCAAGATGGCGAGACATTCTGAAAGCAATGTTGACACTTGGAAAACTTGTCACCAACTTGTCTGTTGTTTGTGCTCCGACCGTTTCTGCCACAGATTATTTCTCTGAATACATACATGAGAAGAACAAGTGTTTACAGATGAATTTTTGTCTAAGATCTGATGGATAGATATTGACTAATGTTCTTGCTCTATAGGCAACTTCATCTCCGGACATCAATCTATCCACGAGAAGACTGAACCTTTCATTTAATGTGGCATATGCTGCTCCTTGTCTGGCCATCTCAACAACAAGTTCATCCTTGATAAGACAGACACTGAAATTTGTCACTGGCACTCAAATCCAGGACAGTATTATTACCCATACAGACTTCATCCAAAAATTTCTGTTGTGTGGTCCCATTGTACTAGGATGGTGAGAGATCTTCGGCAATTGTCTCAAACACATGAAATTTGTCACAGGTTTCACAAAAGTGTTCTAAAAGACCCTCATATAAATTCATCACAGTTCACAACTCAAGGCCAGCCTTCTTAGAGCTTTATTCACAAGATTAATTTTTGTAGTATGTCATTCCAAATGACACACATCAAAGCTCTCATACTGATCTAGCTTAGTCAGTGACTGCCTCATGAACAGCTGTCGGCGGCTGTTGATCACTTTCAGCTCTCTCTCAAAGGCTGATGAATTTCAGAATAGTTCACAGAGTGTTCTGGTGGCATTGCTCCATGCTGAACATCTTGTTTCTCCACGTTCTTTGTACAACACAGGTATTTTGCTTCATGTTTAGACCACCTGTGGGATGAAGCTGACAAGAAAGTAACTGCAAAAATCTCCAAAAACTTGACTGCTGCAGGGCAACACTCCACAGCAGCTGACCCAACCAAATTCAGACTACAGGAAGCACATGGAACCCATACAGCTAAATGGTTAACTTCAGAACCCCTAAATAAACACCACTTTTTTTTGGCCTCCGTCGGTCAGTTGACCATGGATGACGTATCCTAGTTCTCGTCTTGGTTCGTGTCGAATTGTCTGGGACAGCGTCGGGGACAGCGTCGTTGGTGGCTGAAAAGACCAATCCGGGACAGGCATTCTTTGCCTCAGAAGTCGCAGCTATAGGTGGTTCCCTGGCTGTTGTTGTTGCGTAACTTCCTGCGGGCTCGCTTTTCTTCTGATGCACGCATCATGTTCGTTTCGCCTGACTTGAGCTGTGTGGTCAGGGTGCCCCTCCACTTTGGGCGGTCTGCTGCGAGGTCTTCCCAGGACTGCGTGTTTATGTCGATGGCTTTCATGTCCCTCTTCACGACATCTTTAAATCGCAGGTTCGGGCGCCCTGTGGTTCTCTTCCCAGATGCCAGTTCCCCGTAGAGGATGTCCTTTGGGATCCTCCCATCCTCCATGCGGCGTACATGGCCAAGCCAACGCAGGCGACGTTGTCGGAGCATGGTGTACATGCTGGGGAGGCCGGCTCGAGTCAGAACTTCGAAGTTGGAGACTTTGTCTTGCCAGGTAATACCCAGGATGCGGCGCAGACCTCGTAGATGGAAGGCGTTCAGTCTCCGCTCTTGTCTCGCGTATGTGGTCCATGTCTCGCTCCCGTACAGCAGGGTGCTGATGACGCAGGCGTTGTACACTGCCATCTTTGTTGCGGTTGTCAGCCTGGGGTTGGTCCACACTCGGGTTGTCAGGCGGGCTAAAGTAGAGGCTGCCTTCCCGATCCTCTTGTCGAGCTCAGCGTCAAGGGAGAGATTATCGGTGATGGTGGAGCCCAAGTACGTGAACTGGTGGACGACGTCAAGCTGGTAGTCGTCTACTGTGATGGCTGGTGGAGTGACAGTGTCCTGGCTTAGGACGTTTGTTTTTTTCAAACTGATAGTCAGCCCAAAGTCTTTGCAGGCCATGGAAAAACGGCTCATCAGCGACTGTAGTTCTTCCTGGGTGTGTGTGACGACTGCTGCGTCGTCGGCAAATATCATGTCCCTGATCAGCGTCTCCTCCAAGAAAAGCCCCCGGCAGCGACGGGATTCCTCCAGACCTGCTGAAACACCACTCATATTGCTGGCTTTATTCATATCACTGACATGCAGGCTTGCAATATCAATGCCATCAAGTTTGAGAATATCCTGCAAAAAAATTGAGTGAATATTTTCCATCATGCAATGGTGATGAACTGAAGAAATTACTCAACCTCATTTCCATCATTGAGTATATAACAAAACACTTATTAGTCTCACTGATCAGTTTACTGATATCAGATGAATCTATATTGATTCCACTTCGCCTTCTTGATTTCAGATATTTGTGCCATAACTTTGAGCCCCCAATAAATCAATACATTCATCCCATACAGTTTTGAAAGATTCCCTCTTCCTGGATTTCCATGTCAGAATAAAATTCAGCTAGAAGTTCAATGCAACTGAAGGAGCTCCATTGTTAGGGCAGCCATGCAATTCAATGTCCCCACAAAAGACTAGTCCTTGTTCAGCAAGGAATTTTATTACAGCAACTATTCCCATGAGCACTTCGATCCAGTATGTACATGATCTTATATCTTCTTCAGAGGTGGGTCAATTCTGGCAGACTATGCGCCAAGATGACCCTTCAACTGCTCATGAGAAGTAATTCTAGTGACTGCATTTGCCCAATAAGCAAAGCCTGTTATAAATTCATCAGAGTACTCATTGTCACAGAAAAGTTTGTATATGTAGCAATGCATTTTACCAGTTGAAGGAGAATAAGCAAGCCATTCTCTTTGGACAGTTTTCCTATTTGCCAGTCACCTGAAAAAATATTCTTTCCGTGCAGCTCTCTTTTACCAAATTGTCTACCTAGCAATGAGAAAGCTGAATCCAAGTTATGGGAAGGTGTATTTTCTGCAAAATATTTTATGAAACGGAGTCATTTTCCACTCAGCTGGGACACAGTATGTTTCAAAGTTGAGAGAAATTGAGAATTTTTTTAGTTGCATCACCACATCTCCTGCCAGTGTTGTCACTGTCACTTCTGAAGTAGCGGCGTGACTGATCCTGACTTGAACCTTCAAAATCAAGTGAGGAACACCACCACTCAGTGTCAGTCTGTTTCAACATGTTCTGCAGGTTTGTCTTCCAGGTCTGATGTTCATGGACCAATGGGAAAACTTGCATTGTCACTCCTCGTATCTTCTCATGAAATTCAGCAAAGAAACCCTCCTCATCTGTTTTAAAGCTGACTCCTTTTGCTTTACATATCCAGATTCATGCCTCCTCTTGTATCCATCTGACATTCAATCCAATTCAAAAGGTATCCTGAAAATGTTAAAAAGAGAAACTTGAACTATAAGTTAAAGATGTCAACATAATGACCAGACAAGCAAAACAAAGATTAATGAACAAAATGTGTTACAAGAGTTGACATCTGCAAATCAACAAGAACTGCCAACAACTTTAGATAAATTTTCTATTTACGATTTTTTAATTAAAATCTGTCAAGTAGTTTAGGAGATGAGAGACTTGACAGATGGCTGGATGGATGCATGGACAAACAAAGGCATGACATCTATAATCTGTAATAGTCACAATCAATTCTGGGATGCTCAAAACTTATTTATATTAAAATCTCAATAGAAAATAATTATGTATAAATTATGTATAAATTTAAAATACAAAGACAAACTGGCCATTTCATTATGTGTTGCCATGTGGAAACATTAATTTATAAACCAGCAAATGATACTGAACACAGCAAATGAATACTTAACTATATTACATAATAAAATAAAAAGTTTCTTACCTTTTTAATATTGGTATCTCTTCAAACAGTCCTTTCCAAGTATTTTTATCAAGTCTAAACAAACAGCCTCTCACTACCTTAAATTACTACAGTGTTTGCATTTCACAGTTGTGTTTCAGAAACTCTAGGCTACCAAAGTTCCCAATAAACCATATGGCCACCCAGCTGCTTAATGAGCCCCACCCAGGAGTTCAGGGCTGTCCCCCCACTTCAGAAGCTCAGTGCTAGAGACTGGGGAGAACAGTAGGGATGGGACATAAAGGAGGGAGGGGACATAAAGGAGGGAGTTAAGTGGATTGGGGGCAAGAATCAGAAGGAGGGGAGTCTGGAGTGTCCTGTCTCTTGGCTGGGCAGCCTGAAGACGACTAGTTTTATTACAGCACCTGTGTTTGGCTGAAGTTTCATGTGAGAAACCCAGCACTCTCATCCAGCCTACACAGCTAGGGAGGGGGAGGACAGCAAACTGCATGGAGGTAGGTGGGGAAGTAGGGAGTGGGTAGGTGCTGGTGGAGAGTGAGTTTGTACTGTCCCCTCCTGTCCTGACTCCCAGCTAGTACCTGTAACTCTATGAAGCAGGATTCTATCCCTTGCCCCCAGCTAGGCAGGGGCCAGTGAAAGTGAAAACAGAATACATAGGAGTAGGTGCTGGTTTCTGCTGGGGAAAAGTTTGTTTGGCATGTCCTGACTCACTGGTGGGGGAGGAGGAGAAGGGGTACAGTAAGGATGTAATAGTGTAGTCAAATAACCAATAAAAAAGGCTTATCAGTCAGTTAATGCTATAGACTACACAAATTCCCTCCCCCAACCCAAGTAAATTTTTTTTTAGCAGGTTGGCTAGCAGCCTGGCTCAGTTGCAGGTCCAGGGCCTACCCCTGCTATCAGATAGCATCTTGACTAGTCAATCTCCTGACCCCTCCCCAACCCACTGCCCATGCTGCCTCTATAAAAGAGGCAGCATACTTCAAAGTGGCAGCGCTGCACAGTGGAACTACCACTTTGAAACCCCCAGGCGGCTTTTCAAAGGGGCAGCTGCTACACAGCTGATCCGCAGCTGCCTCTGTGCCATTCAAATGGGCAGCCTGGAGCCCAGTCCCCAGCTGATTGGGATTTCAGGGAAATGCCACATGGAGGGGAGTCTCAGCTGACCCTGGGCTCCACACAGCACTTCCCCAGATGACCCTAGGTTCCAGGGAAGTGCAACATGCAGCATTTCCCAGAACCCGGGTTCAGCTGGGGACTCCCCAGCTGACCCTGGCTCCTAGCAGCATACAGTTTAGCATGGAGCCCAAGGTCAGCAGGGGATTGTGAGTCTCTCCCGCCCCCTCCTCCTTCTGGGCTCCATGGTT